GAAAAAGCAAAAGGAAACTTAAAACTATATGGTCAACAAAAGATAGACTCAGAACTTTTATACAAAACTCCAGGGCATGTGCGAAGAGTTTAGATCAAGTCTCTAGAGGAATGTTTACTACAGATGAAAGACCTGACAGCTTCCCTTGGAAAAGAGAACATGGGTAATAACTTGGAAGCACCAAGTGAAGACAGTATTTATGGCCAGGCAAGAGGAAGAGTCAGGAGGAAACTGACTGATACTGAAAAGTCAAGTATGCAATTAAACATCCAAGATGGAGAGAAAAAGCAGTTCTATATCAACATTTGTAAAAAACAAAAGCAAAAACAAAACAGAAAAGCCAACATGACAGAGCATCTTAAAAGTCATTAGGCTGAGCAAACCTTTACTGAAACAGTGCAGATCAAAATCATCAGGGGAGAGGACATGAAGTGACTGAAGTTTGTCAAGAGAAAAAAATGGAGTATCAAGAAATTTTCAGTCTATAATTACTTGGAGCAAGAGGAAGAAAGTTCTGATACAAATGACAAGATGAGCACATGAATGAGAAGCTGAAGACCTTCAGAGAGCAAGTCAAAGACCTTGAAGAAAAGCTGGAAAGCATCATTTGTTCTTCTCAAAAACAAATTATTTCTTGAACTATAAGGACATGGTCATTAAACAATAGTGTAGGAAGATGAAAGAAACCTCTTTATCTCAAGACAAGTGATTGCAGATGTGAGACAAAAACATGGAAACAGTGATTAAATTTAAGCTTCTAGAAATGGATCCTGATGCATCTAATGATCCAGATGGAACATTTTTCAAGGAGCATTTGTACCACCCCCCATCTCTGGGCATGGGGTGTGTTTCTTCTGAGATAGGAGAGTCTCAATGCCCCTCCCTTCAGACCTTCTCCTTGGCTGCCAGGTTTTCCTCCTGCATTCCCAAATCTGGCATTTCCAATAGATTCAAATGGAGAGTTTATGGCAAGAAGACGTCTCCTTCCTCCCTGTATTATGGTTCTCCAGAGAAAGAGAAGCAGTAAGCCATATATACATATAGAGAGATTTATCTCAAGAAATTGGCTTATGCAGTTGTGGGGGCTGGCAAGTCTGAAACCTGTAGGGCAGGCCAGCAGGCTGGAAAATCTCAGGCAAGGCCTGAGACTATAGTTCACATACTATACTGTCTTCTTTCTCAGAGAAATTTAAGTTTTGCCCTTAAATTGCTTCGACTAATTGAATGATTATCAAGAATAATCTCCTTTGCCTAAAGTCAACTGATTATAGAGGTTAACCACATCTACAGAATACCTTCACAGCAACATCTGGATTAGCATTTAATTAAATAACTATGTACTACAGCCCAGCCAGGTTGACACATAAAACTAACTCCTTCTGCTCCAAGAAGACTGGACGAATCCTTCTGAGATGGCTTTCCACCAAGAGGCTGTTGTCCTCTTTATCCTCCATCATGGGCTGGGTTTTTTTCTGGATACTCGCATCCAGAATGGGAATGGAAGTATATTACCTTCTAGGTTCACTGAGTCTCCACATAGCCCTTCTACTCAAACTTCTGAAACACTGAAAGGACCTTACACCATTTCATTTATTTTTCTTCAAAATTACTTTTTAGTTATCTAGAGTTTTTAGTTTAAAAAACTTTCTACAAGTCAGCAAGAAAAGAAACCAATTAATCCAACTTAAAAAATAGACAAAAGGTTAGAAGAAATATTTCTCCAAACAAGATATCTTGCTAACAGGCACATGAAAAGATGTTCAACATCATTGGTCATTGGGGAAATGCAAATTCAAAACCACAATGAGAAGAATTTTCACCTACTAGGATTGCCATAATCAAAAAGATTGTCAAGGATGTGAAAAAATTAGAACTCTCATAGGTTGCTGGTGAAAATGTAAAGTGGTGTAGCCACTCTGGAAAATAGTTTGACGGTTCTTCAAAATGTTAAACATATAGTTACCATATGACCCAGTAATATCATACCCAAGAGAAATGAAACATATGTCCACAGGAAAACTGTATGCAAATGTTCAAAGCAACATTATTCACAATAGCTAAAAAGTAGAAATCATTCGAATGTCCATTAACTGATAAATGAATAAATAAAACATGGTATATCCACACAATGGAATAGAATTCATCAATAAAAAGAAGTGAAGTGTCGATACATGCTACATAATGAACCTTGAAAATATTATGTTAAGTGAAAAAAGCCAGTTACCAAAGGCCACAAAGTGCATGATTTCACTTACATGAAATGTCCAGAGGAGTAAATCTATACAGATGAAGTAGATTTGTGGTTACCAGGGGCTGGAAGGAAAGAGTATTGAAAATAACTGCTAAAGGGTATAGAGTTTCATTTTGGGGTGATGAAAACTTTCTGAAATTAGGTAGTAACGATGGTCGCACAACTCTGTGAATATATTAGAACACTGAACTGTACACTTTAAAAGAGTGGATTTTTGAGTATGTAAATTATACCTCACAAAAATTATTTTGAACTTTACATAAGTGGTTTTACTTTTGCTCAAATTGCATCGACAGAAATTTCAGAATTTTTAAACAAAAAGATAACATTAATTCTTCTCATTATATATATGGTCTAGAAAATGTAACTGGTGAATTTTAATTTGATGAACCAGTCCACTATTTTTTAAATGATATATTATTATTTGTGAGCTGTTCATCCAACAGATACATTTGAATAGCAAAATATTTTTCTCTCTGTCTTGTAACCACAGTTACAAGAGAAACATGAAAGTTACTGTTGGCTTATTGGTCTCAAAAAATTTTAGTTGATTAAACAAAGACAATCTCGCAAAGCCAGAACTGCTGGAGCTGGGATTCCTGCTATACTGTCAGCACCTCCCGCTTGTCAATCCACACTCTACCCGTTAACACAGCTCTGGAAATTAAAAACAATCTCAACAGTAATAATCAGGCTTCAGGAGTCTATGAACTCCCAGGAATTATATGTAAAATATGATGCGGGAGAGTCTACACCCTTTTTTAGGGTCTCAAAGAGGGTCATTGACCAATATTTTAGAGACATATGCCAGGTAGGGCTGCGCTTGGACTCTGTAGCAGCATCTGTCGTTTAAGGTTGCAGAGCAACCTTTCCCCCTTTTTCTTGTCAGCGATGGGAGGGTGTGTGTGTGTTGGGGGGGTGTCTTCCCCCTGAACATCGCACTGCTGCTGGAGAATCTTTCCTTTTCATCTGGTTGCTAAATCCAAAGAATGTGATCTAGGAGCTGTCTGCACCATTTCCCCAGCCTACTCCTCTGTGAAGAGGCCAAACAGCCCTTCACCGAAGAGAACAGGGCGAGTTGGGGTAAGGAGCAGGATCCAGATACCTTGAGGCCAGCTCCACCCTTCCTTTCCTCCCTTCTTCCCTCCCTCCATCGCTTTCTTCCGTCCTTGTGTGCTGCTACAGGGGTGGAAAATTTAGCCTGGAGAAGGTAGGAGTGGGACATTCCAGGGATAGAAAGGCACAGGGGTGGAAAAAGGCATGGTTTGAGAGACCTGGTTCTTGGGGCTGCACGCAGGGGATGAGCTCAGTGGCTAATAGGATCGGCCATGGAGAATCCCCCAGCAAGGCACGCACTGCACGAAGGGCCGAAGCGCCAGGGAGGTTCGAGGTCAGGATTACAGAAAACCAGGAGCGAAAGAGGGAAGCTTAAAGGGCCAGGCTGCGCAGCCGGGACTAGGATGATGGCACTGTCCAGCTCGGCTGGAGAAAAAAATTTAGCCCCGTCCTCAACCAAGGGAGACGGACCAGTCCCATCCCCCTACCCCGGGGAATTTTAGCGACGCAAAGCCGAGACCACCTCCAAACCACGGGTGACTTGTTATCCACAGTGAACTGAAGGTCAGAGGACAAGATCAATTGGGGAAGTTGGGGAAGGGACTGAAAAGAAAAGATGACTTTCTTTAGGATCCGTGTGCCCCATCTCCTCGCCTCCCCCTTCCAGCTCCCACTTGGTAGCACCTTCCTGATCCCCTTATCTCTAAGGCGCTCAGGGAAATGCCCCCCTGCAGCAGCCTTCTGGGAAATGCTGCCTTGGCCGCCCAGGAACCATGAGCCCTGCTGCCCCGGTAAGGAAGAAGTCTGTGGGACACGAGGAAGGGCCTAGGGCGGTGTGGGTGCCCTTTTCAAATAGGGGAAGGGACAGGTTCTCTGAATGACATCCTGGATTGGCTCGTAGGTGGGGGTTTGTGGGGCTGAGCTATTTAAGGAAATGATCCTGGATGGGCAGGCCAAGGTGGTAGATACAGAAACAGCCTTCTTTCCCCACTTAAGCCCCATTCAATCATGAATTTTTGAGTGTCCTAGAGGTACCTTTCCAACCCACAAATCTGAACACTCATCTCATCTTGAAATCCCCTCCCCAGGCTCTAGTCACTGTGTCATAAGTCCAAGCTCTTGAGCCTATCATCCAAGGCCTTTGTGTTATATCCTTGCTCCCCTGCAGCTTCATCACCTGCCACTTCCCATGCCCTCCCTACCCTACTTCCCAAACACACTGAAACGCTGGTCACTCTTTTGAACTTCCTCCTTCAGTGTGCATATGAGTCTCCTAGGTTTCCTACTCATCCTTCAAGACCTATTTATGTCTCCACTGGGAAGCCTTCCTGAACCTCTTGGGCAAAGTCAGACTCTTCTTTCCCATTGTTAAATCACACCCCGTGCTCTAATTGTGTGTTTACGTTGTCTCCTCCATCAGACTGGACGCTGGGGAAGGAAAGAGGAAGGGCCTTGTTGGATGCTTCTTTGTGTCCCCCACGGGCGCTCAGCGCAGTGCCAGGCACAAACTGAGTATTGAGAAAACATGGCCAAACTAGAGCCTGGCTTCTCCTTGCAACTTTACGTTTTTCTAGAAAATTAGTTCAATATTCTTAGGAAAAATTATCTCATGATAAAAGAGTGAACAAATGCCTTGTGGTTAACAGCAAAATAAAATCGCAGGTGCGGCCTCTCACCTGTGCTCCGGGTCAGAACAGGGCTGCTACCCAGGAGTAGGCTTCGTACTGCCAGGCTCCAGTGCTGAGCTGCAGACTACACGTCCCAGAAGGCCTTGTGACAGTACATCTCTCCACGCCCCGCCCCCTCCCAGAGGGGTGAGGCAGGGCCAGAGGGCGGGGCCCAGCGGCTGTGAGTCCCGGGACGCAGTCTGGGGAGTGAAAAGCCCCAGGCGCTCTGGGGCGTACAAAGCGCAGGCGCAGCGGGTTGGGTGGCAGCAGCATCAAGTAGCGGCCGTTTTGGCAGCAGCATCCCGCAACAGGTGTAGACAGGTGGGTGCATCACGGGGAGGCTGGAGAAGGAGTTTGCAACTGGCTCTCCTGTCTTACCTGTGTCAGGGTTTGAAGAGGGTGGGGAGAAGCAGGAGAAGCAGGGGCAAGGCCGTGCCTTCAAGCCCAGGTGTGGCAGCCCTTGCTACGCAGTAAGTGGGGGAGGGGCAGAGATACCTGCTCCCACGTAAGTTGCCCTCAGGAACAAAGGGAACCTGGATTCCAATCCAAGCTCATCACATACATGGACAAGTCACTTGCTATCGCTTAGAGTGTTTATCTGCAAAATAGGAGTTTAAAAGATCCTACCTATCTAACAGTTAGTTACAGTAGGGACAAGGTAAAGTGGTATGTACAGTGGCTAGTATACTTTGCTGCACATTGAATCACCTGGGGATCTTTAAAGACTATCAGTACCTGCCTCCTGCCCCCAGGCGTTCTGATTTAACTGTTAATGGGGTATGTATGACCTGCGTTTGGGGAGTTTTAAAAACTCCTACTGGTGTAATGGTTAGAAGCCAAGACTGCTGGGTGTGAATCCTGGCTCCGCTGCTTACTAATCGAGTGGGTCTGAGCAAGTGACAGGGCTTCTCCAGGCCCCAGTTTTCCGGGAGTAACAAGGATTGTTGTGAGTCTTCAATGAGATAATAGACAAAAGCACTAAGTGTACCTGGCATAGTGCTTAATCTATCACAGCTGCTACTGAACCATTATTTTACACACTTTGTAAATGGCCCAGGTGGGGTTCAAATGTGAGGGAGTCTTTTCTTATAAAGGTCCCTCATTTATTGCCATGATTCTAATATTCTGTGCTGCCAGTATTTCAGAATTCCAGGGTCTCTAACATTTTACGAGCTGCTCCCTCCAGCCTCTACCTGCCTCACAGACACACTTCTACAGATCTAGAAACAGAAGCCAGGAAGAAGGGGCTTGGCCAAGGTTATGGAGCTGAGATTGGAATCCAGGCTTCTGACCCCCACTCCCATCCCAGCACATGGGTGGCTGCCCTGCTGATCCCACAGGACAGTGCAGCCATTATCTGCTTAGAGCAGAGAATGGGGAGGAGAAAGGCAGATTTGCCTTGTTTACTAACACTCCTTTAAATGTTTCCTCAGTGGCTCCCCTGGGAAGGGTGGGGCTCGGGGCTTCTCTCTGGGGAGCTGCTCTGGAGCTACTGATGCAGCCTGTGTGTCCTGTGGCTCTTCTGACAGGTCCCGCCTGACTCCATCCTGGAAAGTCCTTTTGAAGAAATGGCCCTGGTGAGGGGCGGCTGGCTGTGGAGACAGAGTGAGTGACCCTGGGTCCAGCCCTTGTCTGTACTGCACCTTGTCCAGGAGTGAAGGAAGTAGCTATGACAGTGAACCCTTCTCCCAAGAAACCAAGCCCTTTTTATCCTCCCTTCCTTTGTCCATCTCTTTCCTGTGCCTGAAATGTCCTTCCCATTACTGATTGCTTGGTAAGCTTCTACTCTTCTTCAAAGTCCAGCTCAGATGTCCCCTTCTGTGAGTAACCTTCTCTGACTTTTCCTCTAGCCTCCACCCCAGCTCCTGCTGTAGCACCAAACTGGATTAGAGGCTCCGTTCTCCGTTCCCAGTGCCTCATCCATATCCTTGTTATAGCATCAATCTCCTTATAATATAACTGTCTTTACCTGTGCATCTCACCACCCCCAACCCCATACAGGCCCCGGACTGGGAACTCTTCAAGGGCAGGGACTGGGTTTGATCCTCTGTGTGTCCACAGCACCCAAGCCCAAGACTGGCCACAGAACAAGGCTCAACAAATTTTTAAAATGCCTGCTTTGGAATCCATAAGGCTCTAAGAAGCTCTCTTATGTCTTTGCCCTTTCTGTTAAGATTTCCAATCGCAAAATGTGTGAAGCTAGGGCTCAGCTTCCAGACCTACCTCTGAACAGAGTCATGATCTGAACAACAGCTCTCCTGGGCTAGTAGTCCCTCACCCTCATCCCCGCCCCTGCCCCACACCATGACCTATTCTCAGTTTATTCAGTTCAGCAAGCCCCGAGCCCAGGTCCAGCTGCAGCCCCCAAGTCTTGTGGAAGACACAGACACTACACAAATGACAGTCACATGAGTCAGAGATAAAAGCTAAGATGGAGACTCAGGGTAGGCAGAGGTCTTCGCCCTTGAAGAGAACTGGGATTTGACCTTGGAAGCCCCAAGGAAATAATCAGGTCATTCGCTTACCATTCGACACATTTATAGAGGCCCTACTATGTGTTAGGGAGGCAGTGAGTGAGCAAGACAGAAAGAGGACCTGCCATCATTTCAGGGGATAGACGAAGAAGGATGATTACAACACCGGGGGCCTGGGAGTGGGGGACTCCGGGAGCCCATCCAGGGCTCCTGCTCCCAGTAGGCTATGCGATCAGCCTTCCTGGCGGGTCTGGATTTTCACACAGGCTCTATCCTCCGCCGCTGGAAGCGGAACTGGTTCGCCCTGTGGTTGGATGGGACCCTGGGCTACTACCACGACGAGACTGCACAGGACGAGGAGGACCGCGTGCTTATCCGCTTCAATGTTCGCAACATAAAGATTGGCCAAGAATGCCAAGGTGAGAAGAAGCCCTTTCCTCTCTGGCCCTGTGACTATGAGCATGGCCCTCCCAGTATGTCTGTCTGAGAACACCCACATTGAAAGGTTCTTTGCAACTTTCAGAGAGCTTCCACAGACATTGCTTCTGGGCCTCTATCAACTCCAATTCATGTGGGTATGAATTAAGAAATCAGTTCTTTACTGAGTTCCTACCCTGTGCTGGGCCCGGGCCCTATGCGGGGTCACAGAGGTGAGTCAGACACGCAGTTCCTGCCCTCCAGACATGCAGTTCTTGCCCTCCAAGTGCTAGGAACTGGGTAAAGATGAAAGGAAGTAAGGAAGTGCAGAGAGGTTAAGTGACTCGCCCAGAGTCACATCAAATCTTCTCAACTGAGCCTCGGGTTACAATTATAACAGGGTTACTGAGAGTTAGATGTACCTAACTAAGAGAGCAGGCAATGTGGAAGGGTTGAAAAGCTGTAAAGAGTAGAACAGGATCCCAAAGAAAGTGTGTGAGATCACAGGAGGTTGGTAAAGGCCGATAAACAGGACCCAGAGAAGTCAGTTTCTTTTCTTGTTCCTGGTGTACTGCGGCGGGTACCTGGGGCTTGTGTCCTGTGCAGACCCCTTATCTGAGTCTCCCTTTAGATGTACAGCCCCCAGAGGGCCGGAGCCGAGATGGCCTGCTGACCGTGACCCTACGGGAGGGCTCCCGCCTGCATCTGTGTGCAGAGACCCAGGATGATGCTATGTGAGTCTCTCACAGGAGAGGATGGGATGGGATGGGATCTTTGGGAATGTGACCACACGCCTCCTCCTCACTGGGCCTTCTGGTTCCTTGAGGTTAAGAAGAGAGGACAGGAGCCAGTCAGTTTGGTGGAGCTGCCCAGAGTGGATTTGATGGCTCATAGTGATTGGTATGGTACTCAGTAAACTCCTCACACGGTCTGTGATGAACTCAGGCCTGTTGGAGGAGGAGTACGCACACCTGCCTCAGGTGTGTGGCCCCTGATCATCCAGAGTTGAGTACTTGTCAGCCTCACTTGGGGGTGACATAAAGGAACAGAGCCCTATGGCATTCTCAGTGGACCCTCCTTCTCACTCCTTTTGAGAAGATACCCTAGTGGGCAACCGATCTGAGGGGTAGACCCTGACCTGCCTAACAGAGGCATCCCGGCATGCAGTGGGGGCACCCCAATGTCAGATGCAAATCTACACTGCGAGGCCGAGTGTCTTACTCAGGCACCAGCTGCTCGCTCACATTCTTTCCCTTCCTACCCTCTGGCGGAGGCTCAGCTGGCTTTTGCGTTGTAGGAGAGTGAAAGAGATGGAGTGTGTGGGAGTGGGGCAAGCTGAGCTCTGGGTAGACAAAGCACAGAGCCGTCTTGTCCACCCCAGCCAGGCGCCATGGCAACCAACAAAGGCCCAATTGTCCAGTGTCCACTGGGCCTTTCCAGGGCTCTGGGGTCAGAACTTTGGGGAACTGTTTGTAGATTTGGGATGTGGATGGGGCCTACAGCTAGAGAACCAGCCCAGGCATGTCAGAATCTGAAGGCCCCTAAGAGACACCCCCAAGCCCAGCTGTCTATTGTCTAGATGGGGAAACTGGACCTTTTACAGGGTAAGGACTATGAACTAAGAATGAATTAGGAGGTCCCGGTTCAACTGAGGGCTCTAGCCATGGACTGGGGCAGGGGAGGGGGTCACCTTTGTATACTCAAAGAGATCTCCCCCTTCACAAGAGACTGGGGCTAGAGACTGGGTGGGAGAGGAATGTCTAAAATGCAGGGGCCCATCCCTCTTCTCCCGAACTCCCTCCTCATGGTCTGGTGGGGTTTGCTTTGCAGAGCATGGAAGACGGCGCTGTTGGAGGCGAACTCCACCCCGGTGAGCCCCCATTCCCCTCCTTTCTCCTCCCCACCCCTACCTGCCATGGAATCATGGGTGACGCAGACTCGGTCTCTGCCTGCCAGGAGTTCTCAGTTCCCACATATGTGAGTAAATAGACTTGTACAGACTTAGATACCCTGAGACTAAAGTGGAAAAGGACAGAAGATAGCTCGCTGGTGTTTGGAATAGGGAGAGAGAAGCCTCCAAGAAGGCTTGTTGAAGGGAATGGCATGTGAGCTGGGGGAAAGGAATGGTCTTTTATCGAGCAACTATTATGTGCCAGGTGTGGTGCAGGTGCAATTCCAGCTGCTCACAATACTCCTGTGAGGCTGGGATTATTGTTCCCTCTTTGCAGATTATAAAACTGAGCTTAATTCATGCACACAACAAATATTTACTGACTTCCTACTATGTGCCAGGCACTGTGCCAAAGGCACAGAGGTGAACTAGAGAGATGTGGGCCCTGCCCTCTGAGACTCAGCCTAATGGGGAACCAGACATGAAGCAACTAATTACACAGTTAATGATTCCATTGCAATGGTGGTATTGCTCTGACAGAGACATGCAGTGTACATTCAGTGTGCAACCACTTTGGTGGCCTGATCCAGGTGGGAATTCATACAAGGCTTAAAATAAGACCTTAAAGATAAACAAATAGACTGGGTGAAAGGGTTGGGTGAATGGAACAGCTTTCTGGGATGAGGGAACTACATGTGCAAAGGCCCTGGGAAAGGTAAAGACTTTGGCAAGTTGATTGGCAAGTTGAGGAACAGAAGGAAGGCTAGGGTGGCTGGAGCTCAGGGAGTAATAGGGCAGTGAGGAAGGAAGTTGGCAGGGCCAGGCATTATGGGCTGTGTTAAAGATGTCAGTTCCTGCTAAGAAAACGGGGAAGTCATTGAAAGTTTTTAAGCAGAGAGATAGCATGAACAGATCAGACCAGATTTGTATTTTTCAAAAGATAGTCTGGCTTGTAGGAAGGGAATGAATTATAAAAGGTAAAAGTAGATGCCCAGAGACCAGTTGGAAGGCTGGGACAGTGTCCAGGTGACTGACTGGAGACCTGGATTAAGGCATCGCTGGTAGAGACAAGCTGATGAGGATAAGATATATTTAGGAGATAGTCAACAGATTCCGTGCTTGCTCTTTCTATCTGTGGTACAGTGGAGCCCTTCTCATCTAGAGAGAAAGTCCTCTGGGAAGTCACAGGGAGGACTAGGGTGCATCTAGAAAACCCCTTGGGCATCTGCTTGCTGAGGACTGTGCGTGGTGCTGAGCACCTGACATCGGTTATAGCATGTAATCTTCCAACAACCCTGGTAGAGGTTGACGTTTTTAGTCTCATTTTACAGATAGGGAAGCTGAGGTTCAGAAAAGAAGTAATTTGTCCAAAGTTTCATAGTCTTAAGTCAGTGGGAGAGCCTCTATTGGAACCTAGGTCAGTGTGAGATTTTGAAGGGAGGGCATTATCTGCAGAAGGAACTGTATGAGCAGAGGCAAGGATGTGATACATGCACATGTGTGTGTGCACATGTGTGTGTCTAAGGGCCAGGAGTCTGGTCTGGCTGGAGGGTAATGCATGGAGGGAAGGAAATGGGAGAGAGAACCTCTGAGGACCCATGTCATATAGGGCCTTGAAGTCCAGTTGAAAGAACTGAACTTTATCCCAAGGGTTATGGGGAAGAGTAAAGGGCATTAAGCAGGAGGGCTGTGGTCAGACTTTGGAGAGCAGACTCAGGCTTCTGAGTGGAAGCTGGAGAGGAACCTGGGAGTGAGGAAGTGGTGAGGGGTAGTCAGCAGGGTAGAGAGACTTCCATTTGGGCTAACCTGGCTCTGAGCTCCAAATCCCCTTTATACAGGGCAGATCAGTCCCACCCAAGAGAGGTAGAAGGAAGGAGGTGAGGGCTGACCGTTCTGTACTCTGTGACTCTATGAAGCTGCCTTGTCCCTTCCCTGCCTGTCTACTTTCCTGCTGCTCGGCTTACCACGTCTCTCCGCTCTGACCCACCACTCCACCTCCCCCTGCTCCACACACACTCACACACAAGCACACTCGCTCTGGACCCAGGGCTTGCTTGAGCAGGGTGTGTTTGCGCCTCTGTCTATCTGTCTCTGAGTGTCCATACCTGTGTGTGAACCTCTCTCTATCCTATGCCTTCTAGGCATGACCTGTACTTTGTCCTTCCACATCCTTCAGGCTTTTACCCCACTGAGGGAGAAGGCTCTAGGAGGAGCCCCTGACCCAAGCTGTTCCAAGGAACACAGGGCTGGGGGTCAGCCAGGAGCAAGGCTGGTGGGGGTCAGTGAAGGGGGCAGGTGGGTGGGAGGGCAGATCAGAGCTGTTCTGTCTTCCTTGGAGGCTGGGAGCCTCAGCAGCCTGAAACAGGTAAAGATGGGCTAATTCTAGAGAGACACTGCTAACACTTCTTCTCTGTGTAACTTTGGCTAAGTCACCCGCCCCCCTCCCCGCACCCCGGTAAGCCTCACCCCATTATCATGGGCTAAGGAGGACGAGGACAGTCCAGTCCCATCCCCTGCCCAGCTGGCAGAGGACTCCAGTAGGCTTGTTAAGAGCTCTGAGTCTCTCCAGATGTAGAGGGCCTCTGACACCTTCCTCCCTCCCCCTTCTTGGGTTTCTGTGGCTTGAGCAGGCCCCAGCCGGAGCCACCGTCCCTCCCAGGAGCCGCCGGGTTTGCCCCAAGGTCAGGTGTGTGACCAGCTCGTGGAGCCCCTGTAAGGTTGAGAGGCGGATCTGGGTAAGTGCTGGCTCAGCCCTCCCTGCCTCCATTCTGGCCACCAGGATGTGCCTCCAAGACTGGGCCTAGTCACATCCTTTCCCTGCTCACAAATATTCCATGGCTCCCCATCACCCATGGGACACCAACCAGTCCTGCTTTCAAGGCCTTGGCCTACCATAGGCCTCTCATCCCCTGAGATCCAACTGTTCTGCTATACCCTCTGTCTTAGCTGCTCTAGACCTTTTCCCTCTTCCCAGTGTTTGCACATGCCATTCTCTCTGCTGCAAAGACCCTTAGTTTCTATATTCGCCTGACAAACTGATGCTTACCCTCTAAGATCCACCTCAAAGGCTGCTACCTCCTCAGGGAAGACTTCCCAGACCTCCAGGCATTGTCACATCCTCCCACAGCCCACTGCACTAATACTTTGTACTATCTTCATTCTGCTTGGTTTCAAATCTACTTATTTCTGTCTCTATTCTCTCATGACTCCTGGAACTTCCTCCAAGGCAAGGACCAGGTCTGATCAGCTCTGTCCCTATGGAGCCTGGCACAGTGCTGGGTATAGAGCAGGAGATCGATGAGTACTTAGTGATGAGGAGAGTCTCTTTTGACTCTTCTTATTCCTAGTGCATGAGGGTCAGACACAAGGAGACCTCAGGCTATGTTCACTGAATGAACAAATGAGTGAATGAATAAAGGAAGCAGTGAAAAACTTTTGTTACGACATTACTACTGCATATTGTTATTTAGTCCCTGTCTGATTACCTGCTTCCCACCCTGCCCCAATGTTTCTGGAAAGCAGGATTTGAGGATAAATCCTCTCTGTCCTCAGTGCCCAGCCTGGCACGGGGTGGGTGCACTGCAGGGCTTGCCTTAGAGTACCTGTGCTCTTATGACCAACTGTGAGCTCCTTTTCTAGCACAGTGGTGCTCAGTGTGGCTGTGCATTAGAATCGCTTAAGGACCTCAAAAAAACCAGCAATGTTCAGATCCTACCTCTGGATGTTTTACTCTTGTAGGTCTGGGGTGGGGCCTTGGAAATCTGTGGTTTAAAATTTTTCTCCTGCTAATTCTGATGTGCAAGAACCACCAAGCCCAGAAATGCTAGGACCACCCAGTTTCTTAGATGTAGCTCTGCTGGATTCTCATTAGGCCTTAGGAATGGGCAGTGTAGGAAACCCAACTTACAAATGATAAAACTGAAACTCTGAGAGGTCATAACTTGACCAGGGTCACTTAATTCATCAGTGGCAGGGCTGGAAATCCCAGCCCAGCATTCTGAGACATCCCCCATACCCAAACTAGTTTGTTTAAAGTTGGGATTCCTAAAAATAGGACTTAAAAGGCTATACACCTTTTAAATCTTGTAATAAATACATAACAGCTTTTCTGAGGAAAGGGATCTATTTACATGTGACCTCCTGATTGCATGACCCTGTCCCCAGTCTCAAAGGGGGCTGGGCCTATGGAGAGGGAGAGGATCAGGGATCAAGGCCTTTAGTTCTGTCTATGAAGTCTCTAGGGGATACCCTTCCCCGTTGCCAGGTGATCCACATGATTTTACCTTTGGGCCTCTCAGGCCTGGAGGGTAGAAACAGGTGTGTCTCATGGGGATATGAGGTGGTGTTTTCCATTCTCTCCAGAGCCTGACAGAGACACTGGCTCACTGTGCAGCTGCAGAGCAGCGTAGGCTCTGGATCTCAACTTCTCTACCAGTAAAATTTGGCATCTGAGTGCTTAGATCTCCCTACTCCCTTCTAGGCTTAGAGCTCAGATCCTGGCCACCCACCAGAAGCCCTATCAGATCACCCTTGGGGAAGGAGCACAATGAGGGAAGTCACTTGAGACTGAGCATTGTTTGTCTGAGCCTCCATTGCTCTGGGACTGGTCATTGTCTCTAACTTGACATTGGATTTAGAGTTGGATGACTTCACTTCCAGGCTGGCCCTGTATTTGATTCACTTGTGATAAATTCAATACATTAAGCACCTACTATGTTCTATTCAGGCCTGATTAGACCCAGTCCCTGCCCTTGGTGGTGGTAATGGGGGTATCTCCAAGTCTGATGAGAGAGATACTCATGGGGACACAAACAATGACACTACAGTGATTGGTGCTGTGCTGTGCTAAGGGAAGTCTAAGGGCAATGGGTGCCCAGATGGGACCCCAACAGAACCTGAGGTTCAGGAAGAGTGATACTTGAGTTAAATCTGAAAGACAAGTTAGGTGGTTGAATAAAAAAAGGTGAGAAAGGCATCCTCATCAAATGGCATAGAGATTTGAAATGATGAGGTGGGCTTGGAGAACTTCCCTTTACAGACAAACTTTTTGAAAGAGATGTCATAACATGTTGGTTACATCCCTTACCTCTCAACCATTTTCACCGCCCCACAGTCTGGCTTCTTCCCCCAATCGCTCCTCTGAAGCGTGTTTTTTCAAGGTCACCCATAGCTTCCAAGTCACTAAAATCATTATCTTGTTTTCTTGGCACTGGCCAAGAGGATGGACAGAAGAGCATATGTAGAAGATAAAATCATGAGACCTGGTGACTGTGATGTGGAAGACGAATGTGTGAAGACAAGGGTGCCAACCTGATGTCTTGGTCTGAGTGCATGATGGTGGAATTTAGAGAAAAGCATTTACAGAAGATCAGGTTGGGGTAATGGAAGGATAATGAAATCACTCTGAGATGGCTGGTGTTTAAGACACTTGTACTTTTAAGGGGAGTTGGATCATTCAGGTGTGAAGCCCAGTCAGAGAGAGATATGGGGTGGAAGGGGGCTAAGGAGAAGGAGCCAGGAGAGAAGGGGATCCTACCCCGTCAATAGTTCTGCTGCCCTGTGGGTAAAATGAGGGGCTTGGATTAGGAGCTTTCATTTAATTCAGCATATATTTATTGGTTCTTGTTAATCACTAGGCCCTGCTTGTGACATAAATGAATCAGAGTCCCTGCCTATAGGTAGCTCGCATTTGGGGTGCAGGTAGGAAAGGCCAAGTGGAAGGATAGGAACAAGAGGCACAAGCATAGCCCAATGAGAACTCAGGAAGAAAGATTCTTTCTGAGCTCAGACGGGCTTCCTGAAGTAGGTAGTTTTTGAGTTAGGCTTTGAGGGGTTGATAAAAATCTAATGGGGGAATGAAAGGAGCAGGGAGTGCATTCTTCCCTCCCAGAGAGAACACTGACCATTCTTCTTTGAGCCTCCATCCCCAGCTCTGTGGTAATGTGGAGATGATAATGCTCGTGTAAGGAACAGAGGAGGTAACATGTGAACACTTCCCTCAGGACCTGGTACATGGTAGATGCTCGATAATACTTTAATTATTTCCCTTTCTTACCCTACCTTTCCCTTCCTTCCTGCCCAACCCATTTTTATTTCCTGGGCCTGAGACTTGGTCAGGTCTCCATCTCCATGGCTAGAAGAGTAGAGAAATCCATTGGGTTTCTTCAAGTGGAACCACTGGAGAGGTGCTAGCAAATATTAGACTACCTATGAAGGGAAGGGAAGTTGGGAGCCATGGAGAGTTTTTGATCAGGGGAGTGCTAGGTAGGAGGCCAGGGCAGGAAAATGGCATCACTGGGAGCTGGTTATAAGGGCTGAAGCTTTAGAGGACAAGGACCATGGACCTTGTGGAGAGGCAGGGCCTTTCTTCAGGAGCTTGCTGTTCCCTGGGGACCCATTTCTAAACTTGGGGAGGCATCTCCGCGGGCCCAGTGTGACTTGAGCTGGGTGTGGTGGGTAAGGGATCGAACCTGGGCCAGGGAGTTCCAGGGCAGCTAACCCAGCGGGGCTCCCCAGGTGCGTGTCTACAGCCCGTACCAGGACTTCTATGAGGTGGTGTCACCCAACGCACACGAGGCCACATATGTCCGCAGCTACTACGGACCGCCCTATGCAGGTAAATCTTGGGCCCATACCACCCTTTCCAGATCCAGCACCAGGCCCTGCCCATGGTCCATCAGTCGGGACCAGGCCCCATCCTTTTAGAGACCACGGATTTTCCCAGCAGGACCCTCCACAAGGGTCTCCCCAATGCCGAGACTCGACTAGCTCTTGCACCAGAGCCCCTCCCCATTCCAGAGCTGACCTCACCTCTCAGGCTGGCTGGCCCTTTTTCTCAGGCTACTTATTAATACCAGTTCCTGAGCGGGTAGCGACCCCTGGTGGCTAATGCGGGAACGGGCGCCTCCTCCGGGTTCCAGGTGTGGTCTGGAGGTTCTTAAGAGATCCCGGGGTTTTCTAGCCTTTCCACTCTAGTGCAAGGTCCTGGAACATCCGTAGCAGATCCAACGCCTGGAAGCCGTGGGGACGGGAAGCACGTCCTTCACGTTAAGGCCTCAGTTTCTCCGACTGGGGAACGGGAATGTGGGCTCAGGGCCTCCCCTTGGTTTGAGCTGAAGTCAAGCGGGAGGAGGGGAATGAAGATAGCTCTGCTTCCTCAAGTCCCCGGCTCTCTCCGCAGGCCCCGGCGTGACGCACGTGATAGTGCGAGAAGATCCCTGCTACAGCGCGGGCGCCCCGCTGGCCATGGGCATGCTCGCGGGGGCCGCCACTGGTGCGGCGCTTGGCTCGCTCATGTGGTCGCCCTGCTGGTTCTGAGCCCTAAGACTTGGCGCGTGGACCCTGCGCATAGAACAGACCCCTTTTTCTCCTTGACCGCTACCCTCCAACATTCAAGCCCTGCCCAACTTTTGCACCTTCCTCTCCATTAGCTCCTTCTGAGCTTGGATTATACCTCCTACTCACCCTCACTCCCAACATCGCAAGCTATTATCCCAGGCACAAATGCAACTCAAAATCCTTGCATATACCGTCAGACAGCCCAGGTATCCGTCACAGACATAGATATGTTTCCCTCAAACACATCAAGACACAGAAAACACAACTCATGTGGCTTCAAGTTCTCAAGGTGCTGGAGACACATGATTTAGGTTCTTCCCTGGTGGCTCCAGGCCTGGTGGGGAAGAGTAAACTCTTGACAAGGTGGAGTTGTCAATCCTTTGGCAGTATGAGGGCAGAGTGAGAAAGGTAGGTTAGGAGTAAGATTGCTGGCTGGAGTGCAGAGCCCTAAACATCATGGTACGTCCAAGGAATTAAAGGGGAGTTCACTTGGGCTGGGGTGGAAGCAGGGGTCAGATCATGGTGCCCCTCCAGGCTAAGAAGCTTGCTGGGTAAGAGGTAGATGAGTTTTTTTGGAGGGCAGTTTCATGATTGCATGTATAATGAATATTTTGCTGTTTTGTTAATACTGACCCAAACTCAAAACATTCCCTGAGTTTAGCCCATCCTTCCCACTACCAGCCTACTGATCCCCTATTCCTTCAGTGGTCAGAAATCACCTAATTCCCATGTCAGGGTGCCTGGGGCAGCAACTGAGCTGAACCTGGGGTCCCCTTAATTAGGGAGATGAGATGTTTGGGACTCTAGGATGGTGCCTCCACCTGGAAATGCACTTCTGCTCCCCAGAAGCTGGGTACTCTGTCCCTAGCTGTGGCCAACACCATGTCAGGCTCTGTCTTTTCCTTCACTCTGGGGGAGATGGGTTTTTATTCCTGGGGCTCAATCTACTTTTGTCTCAGCCCAGGAGGCCCCACATAGCCTCCCTGCAGGCCCAGCAGTCTCTCCATTTGGTCTCTTTCTAGTCTCCTCCCCCATACTGTCCCAGTCACCATAGAAATGCAAACATCCCTGCCAGAATAGCCTGCTAAAGTTCCCCTGTAGATAGGGGCTCCAGTGGCCCTGTTACAGAGACTAATAAAGGTGTGGTTGGCTCTGGCCCTGGCTCTGGCTTTGTTTGTTCTCCCTGGTCCCTGGTACATCTCCATGACTCAGCTCCTTCTAGTGCCTTTCCTGGTATAGAGAGGAGTGTGGATTCTGAGGTCAAGTAGAACTGGTGACAGCATATGAGCTGAGCAATTGAGGCAAATCACTTAACCTTTACGGATCTTGCTTTTCCCACCCGTAAGATAGCAGGCTGAAGTTGGCCCTCTGCAAGGGCTCGAGAGAGAAACTGTATCAGGGTCTCTGTCATCTGAGCTGATGGGTGATCTGTACCCTGCCTGCTGAGAGTTGTGTGGTGTTGGGGTCTTTTCCAGTAGGTTCCCATACTTCTAGAGGTGAGTCAGTGAGTTGGTTTCAGAGATCAGGTGGCCAGGGAAGGAAACATACCATTTTGGATTAGGCCTTTTGAGGTTGCAAGTGAAACCCCCTGCTCAAACTGACTTAAGCTAAAGGGAAAACATTGGGCCATATAACTGAGAAGTCTAGAAACTATTTGGTCCAGGACTCAAACAGTGTCACTTAAGATTGCTTTGTTTCCATCTTTATAGCTACTGCACTGGTTCATTCAGGGCTGCAGTGATTATTCAGCAGCTCCAGACTCTTGGGTTCAAGTCAAGCCAAGAGAGCTTCTCCCTAATGGTGTGAATAAAAGTCCTGGGACTGATGGATATTAGCCCAAATTGGGTCCTATGGCCATCCCTGAATCTAAGGTGATCTGGAAAAGATTGTCTAAAAGAGGGCTTAGAGCAGGATGAAAAGAAGTGAGCTGGGTGGCAAAAACATAAATGTCCACCTCAATCATATTCTGAGACACCAACTTAGGAGACAAACAATAATTCAATGAGGTAGGGGACGAACATGATGCAGTGGGAGCTCTGAGGAGGAGGTATCCAACTCTACCAAGGGGACTGGGGAAAGCTTTGGGAGAGGAAGTGGAAATTTAGGGTGAATCTTGTAGGATGAGTAGGAGTTTGCCAAGTAGAGAAGGGAAGGAGAGCTTTCCACATAGAACAAATGGAAGAGGTGGCATGAGCAAAGGCCTTAGAACACTGATGTCACAGTGGGATTGCACAGTGAGAAGGGGTGGTGAAAGCGGCTAGGTTATAGAGAACATCCCACAGCTGGGTTAAGGGATCTTTTCTTTGTGCCCATACAGCCTCAGGGTTACCATTTATCATGGTCCCAATGACTCCATGTTTCTTTGCTCTCACCCCAAAGAACAGGGCAAGAGGGATGTAAACGGACATTCCAAATGCAGTTTGCTTAAAAATTTCTCCACTAATAGTGGATTGAAGCATGAATTTTTAATCTCCCAGCTGTCCAATAGACAATTATAAAATTTACACACCCAAATAAGTAAATAAAATTCATGCACCTACATTAAATGTTAATCCTCACAAACAACACAGTCAAATCTGTGGTGCCCCCTGGACCACATCTGGCTCACACACTATTTTGTTTGGTCAGTACAGTGTTTTTACAAAGTTTTGAGTTAATGTGATACCACTACACACCCACCTAAAATGGCTAAAGGTTTTAAGTGACATTAAGTTCTGATGTAGAATTGGAAATCTCATAAGAGTGTTAACTGGTATAACTGTTGGAAACTGATCCAAAAACAAAAACATAGGCATACCTCATAACCCATCAATTTTACTCCTAGGGTACGTACAACAAAAATAGGTACATATGTTCACCAAAAAATAAGTCATAGAAGCACTGGAAAAACTCAAAGTCTAGAGTAGATAGACACAATGGTATATTCCATTCACAAAATGGAATACTATTCAAAGTGAATTATCCATAAGTATATGCAGAAATATGGGTGAATCAAAAAAAAAAATAGCAAGGATGATTCAAAGTGAGAGACATGCAACTCTTCCCTTCACTTTAACACATGAGGACATTGTAGGGTTATTAACTTGTCTAATTTCAATATTGTTGTGTCTCAAGGAATAGGGAGGCCCAAGAAGAGGGAGAGAGATGGGGGAATGGCCAGTCAGTGGAGCAGTCTGAACATACGTTTATTATTTGCCATCTTATATCAGCATGGTTTGTGGTGCCCCAAAACAATTCCAATAGTAACATCAATATCACTGATCCCATGAAGAAGTACAAATTAGTAGTTACAAAACAGTCACAGGGAATATAGGTGATAATATTGTAATGGCTATGTATAGTGCCAGATGGGTACTAGAGTAAGTGGGGGGATCACTTCATAACTTATATAAATGCCTAACCACTGTGCTGTATACCTAAAACTAATTTTTAAAAAATAGTAAAATAAAAAAAGGGGGAAAAATCACTAATCAGAAGAGCACCATAACAAAATGAAAAAGTTTGAAATATTGCAAAGAATTACCGAGATGTGATAGAGATACAAAGTGACCAAATGCTATTTGAAAAAATGGCACTGATAAGACTTGCTTGATGCGAGGTTGCCACAAAACTTCAATTTGTAAAAACACAGTATCTGTGCAGCACAGTAAAATGAGGTATGCCTGTACAAAGCTACAGTAATCAAAACCATGTGGTAATGACATAGGAACAGACAACTCAGAAATAAACTCCCACATATATGGTCAATTGCTTTTCAACAAGGGTGCCAAGACAATTCAATGGGGGAAAGAACAGTCTTTTCAACAAATGTTGCTGGGAAAACTAGATATCCACATGCAGAAGAATGAAGTTGGACCTTTACCTTACACCAGATAACAAGAGGCGAAAATCTTTGTGACACTGGATTTGGCAACGATTGCTTGGATATGACACCGAAAGAAGAGGCAAAAATAGAAAAAGATAATTGGCCCTGATCAAAATTTAAAACTTTTGTGCATCAAAGGACACTGTTAAGAGTGAAAAGACAACCCACAGAATGCGAGGAAATGTTTGTAAATCTGTGTATCCACTAAAGGATTAATATCTAGAATACATATCAAACTATAACTCAACAAAAAAATAAAGAACCCAACTTAAAAATGGGCAAAGGACATTGAACAGACATTTCTCCAGATATACAAATGGCCAGTAAGCAAGATGTTCAACATCATCAGTCATTAGTGAAATGTAAAAATCAAAACCACAATGAGATACATGCCACTACACATCCATTAGGATGGCAATTATTAAAAAATCAGAACATAGTGTTGATGAGGATATGGAAAAACTGGAACCCTCATACATTGCTAGTGGGAATGTGAAATGGTACAGCAGTTTGGCATATCTTCAAGTTAAACAGAGAACTATCACATGACTCAGAAATTCTACTCCTAGGTATGTACCAAAAAAACTGAAATCAGTAATTCAAGCAGATACTTGTCCACCAATGTTCACAGCAGCATAACTTAAAATAGCTAAAAGGTGGAAGCACCCCATGTGTCTATCAACAGATGAATGGGTAAACAAAATGTGGTATATATATATACACACATACATACATACACACACAATGAAATATTATTCAGTCATAAAAAGGAATGAAATTGATACATGATACAAAATGGATGAACACTGAAAACATGCTAAAAGAAGCCTTTAAATCCAGTTTAGGAAGATGCAGTTCTTGCAGAAGGCACTCTCCCTAAATGTTTTTTTTTTTTTTTTTAAACACCTATAGCACCAGTATTCCTAGGTGGTCTCCCATCCAAGTACTAACCAGGCCTGACTCTGCTTAGCTTCTGCAATCAGACGAGATTGGGCACGTTCAAGGTGGCATGGCCGTAGACCCTAAATGATGTTTTGAAAGGAAAAGGTAGAATATATAAAAGGCCTAAGACAGGCAGGTCATTTCATCAACTCTTCACTTATCAGGGGTTTTATACTATCCTAATATTACTACCCATATAGACACTTGCACCAGTGTCTGGCCTGTGGCTTCAGTTTCTATAGTAAGGGGGACAGCTATGGTTCGTCCCAATGCAGGGACTGGCCTTTTTATCTGTAAAGGCCTAGATAGTAAATATTTTTAGCTTTTTGGGATGTAAGATCTATCACAACTATTAAACTCTGCCTTTGTAGTGAGAAAGTATGGCAAAGTTCCAATAAAACAATTTAAAAAATAGGTAGCAGGCTGGATTTGGTGGAAAGATAGTAGTTTGCCATCCTGTCCCAAAGCAAAGGTGGGGTTAGGAGTAAGGAGGCAAAGGCAGAAGTTAAAACTACTTTTCTTAATACAGCTTATTATTGCTTCCACCAGTGACTGTTTTTCAGGTTGCAGCCACTCTCCTTCACCCTTAACAGTTAAAAGGCTCTTCTGACTCCCCAGGCATTTCTCACTTCTGTTGTTTTATTATTTTTCTGGATTTTATGTTCACCTTTATATAGTTCTAGAGGAAATAAGAAGCACACACTAATTTACCATCTTGGCAGGAATAGGAAACCAAGTCAATAATTGTTTTCTTTTATTTATATTTTTGAGAGTAAAATTGTGTTTATTAAAAAAAATCTGGTCTATGAACACACTTCACTGCTTCAGTTGAAGAACCCCAAGCAAATAAACATACCAATATTAAAAGCAGCATAACTGGTTACTGTCTTAAAGATACATAAAAAGAATCAAATGCTACAGGATAGGAAGGTAATCACCCCCACCTCAGAAATCACAACTTCTTCCAAATAAAGAGTATAACCCATCTGCCATATTGAATTGATATTTATTTCAGGACATGCCATGTCAAAATAAAACAAAAGAGTCAACCCTTGCCTTCAACAGTAATATTGCATTATAAAAGCACTTTACAACTCCATCCCATCTGTGAGTTACTGGTATGTGGGCTAATGATTATCTGAAAGCATATCTCTATTCTGATCCATAATCCAAGTGCTCTCTGAATATTACAAGGAGACAGTAAGTAGGAAGTGGGGGAGGAAGAGGTTAGAGGAGGGGAATAAGGTTCTCCCAGTTAAGGGTTTTTGTTGCAATGAGGGGATGAGGAAGTATGAAGATATTTTTGTTGTCTTTTCATCTTTACACTGTGTTAAGTAATGCTTACAACATAACTTCAGCAGGCTTTTCCTGAACTGTTAACTCATAAATTTTCTTCCTGCAAACAATGTATTTACAAATGTGTTTAACTTACACAGCAATCTCACAATAACTAGTAAAGATTAAAATGGTGCACTCCTAGTATATTTGTTTGCAGTGTTTTAAGGGAAATACATATTGCCATGGTGATGAAGCTCTAAATATATTGAACAAAACATCTAAAAATTGAAAGTAGTTTAAAAAAAGGCAAAGAAATAAATATCACCAAAAAGATTAACTGTAGCTTAAATATAAAACTAAATCACTAGTTAATTAACCAAACTATACAGATCTAATAAAAAGCAAACCAGCCTGAAAGACCCAACATTTAAAAAAAGCTAGAAAATAAGGCATAAATCTGCATAATATTTTCATTTCCATTCTCTCCTTTTCCTCTTCTAAGTACGCTTTTTCAGATCTGCCTCTAGGGGCTCTATAGGAAACTTGCCATTTTCAATTTGACCGCAAATATCCTGAGCAAAATATTTGCTATTTTGTCAATTTGACCACAAATATCCTGAGCAAAATATTTGCTATTTTGTTGAGGATGCTTAAGCCTGAGAGATCATTGTTTCTACTGGTTATAGTTCTGATCAGGTGCCAAATTTAAATTCTTCCACTGGGGGGGAAAAATTTTTTTTCCACTGGTTCTTAAAGGAATTTGATTTCTATAGTGCCTTGCCTGCATAGCATTAAAAAAAATAAATAAATAAGAGAAGTCTATTGCTTAAAAATATTTTTCTTTTTTAACAGATTATCCTGACAATTTTAAAATCTTGGGGGAAACAGTTCATTAGAAGAAATAATAACAACTTGTTCTGAAGCACTTTTACTTTTCTCTCCCAGAGTCTAACATGTGAAAGGGTTGTTTGGTCAGAAATACATTTTGTGTTCATTTACTTGTAAGTACTATGTTCATTAGGACTCATTTTAAAGATGCACCAAAACATTTTTCTTATTCAAGCACTGATTACCATGATAGTTGAGTTTTGACCTCAAATAATGTCTAATTTTAATATCAGTGCTCAAGAATAATATTGGATATCTTAACAGAAGGCCTAGAACAAGTGGGATCACTAAAATTGAAGGACAACTCCAATGGGTTTGGCCTGATTGCTGCTTTGCCACCTCTTGTTTTGAGGGAGGAAAAGTAACAATAAGGAATGCGGTAAGAGAGAGGTGATAAAAGCAGGGAGAGATCAAGTAGGTAGGCAAGTGCTAATATGAACAACTGTTCCTTAACCAAGCCACATACTGTTGAGATTTCCATCATTCTGAAGTGCATTACCATAACATTAAAAAGGAAAAAAAAGTTAAGAATATGTACCTAATTTTCAAAGTTACCACTGGAATTATGCTGGAATCGTTTGGCTTTTTGTAAAATATAAATAATGAAGACACTGACTTTTTTGTGCTTGTGAAGCTAATAGATCATCTCCACGAGACAGGCAGCAATGAAGAATTGCAATACGTTATTACTGACGGGAAAAGGTTTAAGCCAATATTCACACTGCAGTCAATGAAAGTGTAAGGGGGCCAAAGCAGTGAGCTTCTGGAGGAAAGCTAAAGATGCCATGAGGGATTAGCAGGAACAGCCTCCTTCGCTAACTGGTTGCTCCTGAGGCTTTTCCAGTTTTATGTCAATCACTGAAACAAAAGTTAAGGAGCTATAAACGGGAGAGTACAATTCCAATTCTATTTAACATTGACATCTATAGCAAGCCCCTTCCATTCTTATTTGGCTTCAGAGACTACACAGCCACTATTTCTATATAGCTAGGTGCTTAAATGGAATAAACTTGCTTATATCTACTATATGCAGCAAGGGTTAGAATAAGGTTAACCTCTATTCATGAAAATATATCCTAAGGAAACTATTCTACAGGAGAGAGAAACCATATAAAGATGTTCTTTATGGAATTACCTATAATAAACATCAGAAAAGAGCCTACAAAGAGTTGCAATGAGAGAGAATTTAATGATGGGACTTGACTCTGTAGAACACATTATGCTATTAAAAGAAATAAAGGCTAAGAAAACATAAAACATTTAGAAGTGGGAAGAGCTGAATACAAAGTGCTATGAATTCTATGGCTTATTAAAAATGTCTGTATATGGAAAAATAATAGAATATAAAACAATGAAAATATCAAAATTCAAAATCCTTTGAAATAATTAATATTAGATGCGCTTCATTATGTTGTTTCTGAAAGCAGAGGCCATGATAAAGCTCTAGACTGAGTAATTTCCTGCCTGTGCTGAGTAGAAAGCTTAAATGTTAGAAAAAACAGGGGAAGAAAACATGATATATACTATGGGGAACATGTACAAAGCCAATGGGACTAAAAATTAAGAAGCAGAAGACTGGGATTCTAAGAGTTTCCTGCTCATTAAAAATAAAGCAAGCAAACACAAACTCTCGATTAACTGTAATGAGCAGCAGGGTGCAAAGGGTATGTTTGGATAACCAGATCTCATTTGCTATAGAAAACCTGAGAGTTTCTATGCTCCTAAGTCATCAATTCCCGGCTGTAAAAAGCAATAGTGTTTAGCCAACCAAGTGGGGTTCTAAACACTAGCGATAACATTTTCTGATTAAACAGAAAGGATACTGTCTTCTCTGCTTCTGTCCTGTGTGCTTTCCATGCCAGGCAAAGCTGCTGCAACA